CCATACCTACCATGCCAACCCTACCATACCATACTATACCTACCATATAATGCCCTACTATACCATACCTACCCTACCCTACCCTACCCTACCATACCATACCATACCATACCATACCATACCATACCATACCATACCTAAAAAACCGTACCTCACCTACCATACCAAAGCTAGGATACCATACCTACCACTCCAGGGACGCCACGCCAGAGAGGCCACTCCCACTCCCACTCCTCCAGGGAGGCCCCGCATGAGCGACGAGGGTATTCGCAAACTATGTTCCTCAATCAGAGGTTGCATCTGTAGGGGTCCTAGCGAATTCATATGGTTAGGTTAGGTTTGCCGCTGATTTTCGCTGCACGCCCGGGTGCCGGGGTGCCCCGGGGTGCCCGGGTGCCCAGGTGCCCAGGGGTGCCCGGGTGCCCGGATGCCCGGGGGTGCCTGGAGGTGCGTAGGGGTGCCCGGAGGTGCCCCGGGGTGCCCGGGTGCCCCGGGGTGCCCGGGTGCTCTATCGCCCTATAGCCCTACAGCTCTATAGCCCTATATCCCTATATACCTATAGACCTATAGACCTGTAGCCCTATAGCCCTATAGCCCTATAGCCCTATAGCCCTAGCTCTATAGCCCTAATAGCCCTACAGCCCTATAGCCCTATAGTCCTTATGCCCTACAGCCCAATCGCCCTATAACCCTATAACCCTATAACCCTAGAGCCCCTATGGGCCTGTAGCCCTATAGCCTTATTGCCTTGTAGCCCTATAGCCCTATGTTCCTATAGCCCTACAGCCCTATAGTCCTACAGCCATAGCCCTATGGTCCTATAACCGTATAGCCCCATAGCCCTACAGGCCTACGGTAGGATTGCGTCGTGTCGACCAGCGGCGACCCCAGCGCGGGCGTTCAAGGTTGAACGCCGCCGGCGACCCAGAATCGATCGATGTTGAACGATCGGACGTTGCGGCAGCGGCCGATCGTTCAAGGTTGAACGATCCCTGCGGTGTCAAAAACCAACGCTGGGGTCGGCACGACACGAACCTGCCGTAGATATTATCATTGTTTTTTTCTCTAGTATCATTATTTATCTGGTTTCGTGCCCCTCCAACTCCTCCAGGGAGGCCCCGCCTGAGCGAGGAGGGTATTCGCAAACCATGTGGTTTATTCGGTTTCGTGCCCCTCCAACTCCTCCAGGGAAGCCCCGCTTCAGCGAGGAGGGTATTCGCAAACCATGCTATGTATCTGGTTTCGTGCCCCTCCAACTCTTCCAGGGAGGCCCCGCCTGAGCGGGGAGGGTATTCGCAAGCTATGTTTTTTTTATCAGGTTTCGTGCCCCTCCCACTCCTCCAGGGAGGCCCCGCCTGAGCGAGAAGGGTATTCCAAGCTATGTTATGTATCCGGTTTCGTGCCCCTCACACTCCTCCAGGGAGGCCCCGCCTGAGCGAGGAGGGTATTCTCAAACCATGTTATTTATCAGGTTTCGTGCCTCTCCCACTCCTCTAGGGAGGCTCCGCCTGAGCGAGGAGGGTATTCACGAACCATGTCTATCAAGTTTCGTGCCCCTCCCACTCCTCCAGGGACGAACGTGCTTCCTGAACAGCTGGCGTCTTCCTTCCTGTTGCTCGCCCTCCCTGCCTTCGTCTGTCGTTTCTTTCGCACGTACCTTTGCGATGGCCCTTCCATTCATATTGCTATTATTTTTCCTCACTGACCCCACGAAGCCCTCAACATCCTTATGTGGGGAACTCCGTTAGCATCATTTTTTGAACGAACGTGCGCGACGTTGAGGCGAGATCGACATTTCGAAAACGGCCCGCCCTCCATGTATGAAACTCTTTTCAATTTGAAAGGTTTAGGGTCATAAGTGGTGAGGAAGTCTCAGGCGAAATGCCGGGCCCGCCCTTTCGACTGGCCTCTGGGTGCGACAGGGAGACGTTACTCATAAGGAAAATGAATGGAGGGGAAGGGCGAGGAGGGAGGGAGGAGGGAGGAGGAAGGAGGGAGGAGGGAGGATGGAGGAGGGAGGAGGAGGAGGAGAACGAGGAGGAAAAGACGCCACGATCATCGGATCTAGGTGCGCGCAACGTCAAAAAGGAATATTATGATGAGGAGAAGGCAAATGGGGCGAATGAGGAGGAGGATGAGAAAGAGCAGGAGTAGTAGTAGTATTAGTAGTAGTAGTAGTAGTA